CACCCCTCCTTTCCCCTCCAACCCACCTGCCTCACCCTGGGCCAGTGCAGGGCCTTATGAGGCTGGACTGTCTCAGAGCCCCACACCGAACCTTCTCAGGCCCCTGCAGGTGGCGTCTCTGCAGCCTCCAGCCCTGCTCTCAGGACTGACCTGTCCACCTGACCCGCCCCCTCCGGGAAGCTGGCCCCTCCTGCAGGGGGTGTTGAGTCTGAGTCAGCCAGGCCCCCAGCAGTGAGCCCAGGCGGGCAACTGGTTAGGGCAGGGCTGCCTCTGGCCCAGGCTGGCCTGATTCCACATTTGCACCAGAGCTGGGGATAGATCTGAGTGACCCCCCCCACAACCTGGGGCGTGGCCACTCTCTCCTCCCCATCCTCCTGCTCCTGGCACCTGCCAGGCTTTGTGCAAACCCAGGGCCCGGCTGGACAAGGCCACTGAGGCCCACCTGCTCTCCTGCTTTCTCTTCTGAGGTCCCTCCCAAGACAGAGGCCTCAGTGTCTTGTGGGTACAACACCCCTTCTTACCTGCCAGTCCCTTGGGTGAGGCAGTGGGTGGACAGGGATTCTGGGGCGGTTCCCCTGCATTTTTGGAGTGGGGTTCAAGGGGCCTTGCCAGCCAGTGTGGGGTGTGGAAGTGGGTGGAGAGCCGCTTTCCAGGGAGTATTGTCCCAGGTAGGGTGGGGACCTGCGGGAGACCGAACCAGTGTAGGCCAAACTACATTCACCCCTCCCAGGGAGGGAGGCTGCCCGCCCTGGGCGTGGTGAGCGGAGACATCCCCTCCCCACAAGCCTCCGTGCAAGCCTGCGTCAGCCCCATCTGGGGTCAAAAATGAGGGGGGCGCACTCACCCATCAGCAACGCCTTTCAGCGGGGCGAGGAGCCTAGCGCTGGGGGTGTGTCCTGGGAAGTGGCCCCAGGTGAGCCTTCTCCCCTCCACCCCCAGGTTCCAGAGGTGGCACGAGAAAACCAGACCCCCAGACCAGTAAACGGGCAATGGAGTGAGGGAGGACCCCGCCCCTTGGATGGGTGAGGCCAGGTGGGCCCCTCCCCAGGCCCATGTAACCAGAGAACCCCCAGCACCTCAGATGGGGCTTCCCGGGAGCCCCTGCAGGCCACCGTGGGCCCTGGAATCTGCATCCCTCACATCTCCACCCCCAGACCCACCCCCGGAAGGCCAGGTTGGGGCCACGGAGGCACTTCGGCTGTCAGGTCTGCAGCTTCCGAAGTGGCCTGAGCTCGACCTGCGGTTTCAAGTCTGTTCCCGCCAGTCTGGAGTGCCCGTGTTTGTGTGTGACGTGGAAACAGTCCCCAGCAGAGCTCTGTCTCCCTCTGCGAGCCTGCTGTCAAGCCTCCTTTTCTGTCCTGCATCGTTCCCTGGGGGGGGGGGGGGGGGGGGGGGGGGGGCGCAGTACAGGGAGGGTGTCAGGGCTGGCCCCATCTCTAACCCTGAGGCCTCTGTGACAGCAGCCACCTGGTCGCTGTCACCCTTCAACACCTACACGCTGGCTCAGGGCCAACTGCATGCTGGGCCCTACTCAGATGCTGGCACATGCTAGAGCGGGCAAGGTTCGGGGCCCGTCCAGGGCCCTGGCAGTGGGGCCTGGTGACAGAGAGGCTGGCCCTGCCCCTGCCTTTCTGCCCCTACCCTGCTGCCAGGTGGGGTCTGGGGTCTGAGCGGACCACAAGCTGCTCAGAGCGCAGAATGAGGCAGAGGTAGCTCTGCCTTGACAGATTAACGTCCAGCTCCTTCCCCCGGCCTGAGCGTCAAGAGCTCAGAACTCGGGGCAGGCCAGCTGCCCCACCCAGCCCACCCCAGCCCAACCCCCACCCACCATCTGGTCTTCAAGCGACAGAAAATGAAGTCAGACCACATTCCCAACTTCAGGTCCTTCTGGTGCGAGTTGGCAGGGGAGCCGGACAGGTTCTGGATCTTCCACGTATGGTCATTTAGTCAGCCCCAAGCACAGACACGCTGTGCAGCCAGCCCGGGGTCACGCGGTGTGGCCGGAGCAGCTGGCACTAGGGCAGAACTGACCCTGAGGAGAGTTGGGGGGGGGTCCTCACACTCGCCAAGTGCGAGGACCTTGGAAGGGGGCATCTGTGGTGGCAGGGGCCGGGTTGCCCCCCCAGCCTGCTTCTTTGGGGTGGCCAGGGTCCCTCCCAGGTGGGCCCTGGGACCAGCCTTGGCTAACCCCCGCTCCCACTCAGACCTTGGCTAGAGGTGCCAGGAGTGCTGATGGACGTGACCCCACCCTCACCTCCCCAGGCATGTTCATGCGGGGTGACCCAGACCCCAGCTGGGCCGTTGTCCCCACCCCACGCAGATGAGGCCATGGTCAGCCCCTCTTGGCCCTGAATACTGGGCTGGGCCCCGGGACACCCCGGGAAAGTCCCCTGGGAACGTCCCCTGGTGCCAGTGGGCCCTGCACTGTGGTTCTTTCAGGGCGATCGACCAAACCCGAGCCTCCTTTGCCTTGGTTTCCTCAACCCGGAAGTGAGGTGGCCAAGAGTCCGGCACCCCCTCAGGTCAGTCGAGCCAAACAAAGGAGGCCTTGCCAGCTGGGAGCAGGCTGCTCCTGCCGCAGGAATGTGGGGGGGAGTCACCCGGGAGGAGGGGTGGCCCCGGGTGGAGAGCAGCCCCAGCCTGGGCCTCCCCTGGGGGGCGCGGGCATGTACCAGGCTCGAGTTGGGAGCTGACGCCTTACTTCACAGCGTCTCACTGCCCCATTTCTCGTGCCGTAAGATGAGGCCCAATGGCAAGGGTGGGTCCCCCACCTGGTGCCGCCACAGGATCTCCGCAGGCCGCCCCACTAGTCCTGACACCGGCGAGGACGCGGAGAGAGAGGATCTCTTTGGCACTGCTGGTGGGAATGCTGGCTGGTGCGGCCACTCTGCAAAACGGTATGGAGGCTCCTCAAAAAATTAAAGGTAGAACTACCCTACAACCCAGCAATGGCACTGCTAGGCATTTACCCAAGGGATACAGGTGTGCTGTTTCGAAGGACACGTGCACCCCCATGTTTATAGCAGCACTATCGACAACAGCCAAAGTATGGAAAGAGCCCAAATGTCCAGCGATGGATGAATGGAAAAGAAGATGTGGAATATATACACGATGGAGTATTACTCAGCAATCAAAAAGAATGAAATCTTGCCATTTGCAACTACGTGGATGGAACTGGAGGGTATTATGGTCAGTGAAATTAGTCAGAGAAAGACAGATATCATAGAACTCCACTCATATGAGGACTTTAGGACACAAAACAGATGAACACAAGGGAAGGGAAACAAAAATAATATAAAAACAGGGAGGGGGACAAAACACAAGAGACTCTTAAAGACAGAAAACACACTGAGGGTTGTTGGAGGGTTGTGGGTGGGGGGATGGGCCAAATTAGTGATGGGCATTAAGGAGGACACTCGTTGGGTTGAGCACTGGGTGTTATACACAGGGAATGAATTACCAGAATCTACTCCTGAAATCATTATTGCACTATATGCTAACTAACTTAGATGTAAATTTAAAAATTAATTAAAAGAAAGGAAGAAAGACAAAGACAAAGGAAAGGTCCATCCAGGGGTGCCTGGGTGGTTCAATTTGTTAAGCGACTAACTTCAGCTCGGCAGCTCAGTCATAATCTCGCGGTTCATGAGTTCCAGCCCTGCATCGGGCTCTCTGCTGGTCAGCACAGAGCCCACTTCAGATCCTCTGTCTCTCTCTCTCACTCTGCCCCTCCCCTGCTCTCCCTCTCTCTGTCTCCTAAAAGTAAAAATAAACATTAAAGGGGTGCCTGGGTGGCTCAGTCGGTTAAGCGTCCAACTTCGGCTCAGGCCATGATCTCACAGTTGATGAGTTCGAGCCCCGCATCAGGCTCTGTGCTGACAGCTCGGAGCCTGGAACCTGCTTCAGATTCTGTGTCTCCCTCTCTCTGCCCCTTCCCCGCTCATGCTCTGTCTCTCTGTCTCAAAAATAAAATAAACATTAAATTTTTTTTAAATAAACAAGGAAGGAAGGAAGGAAGGAAGGAAGGAAGGAAGGAAGGAAGGAAG